TCGCTCGTTCCATTTACTTATTGGGTCAAGAGAAACCAGTGCCTGTCTCGTAACACCACAGGATGGGCTTTATCAGAAATAAAAATGAAGAACTGCGTTCTTATTACTAGAGCGTTCATCACTCAACCTCTTGCAGATAGCACGCTGCTGCAGAGGGAAGCAAGCGATGCTTACACGAAAGTGGATAAATCAAGCCTTTGGAAAGTGAAGCCATTGCAGTGCATGCCTGGGATCCCAGCACTCAGGAGGCCAAGGCAAGAGGTGGTGTGCGAATTGAGTCCACCACGAGCTACATAGTTAAATAGTGAAGTTCCTGTCTTACAAACACACAAGCCTACAAAACCCCATGATCAATCCATGTTAACATTTCTCTTTGTGTTTTAGGAACTGATTGATACTCTAAATAGCTGAAGCTATATTGGGAAAACAGGACAGGAAAACAAACCTGAACCACTGAACGCATTTGAAGTTTTATTGCGTCAGTGAGATTGGTGTTGGGGATATATTCAGTCAGATGAGAAGCGAGCAGGCGGTTAGCAGTCAAAGACTGGAGAAGATTGCTGAGGAAAGTGGTGAGCTGGTGGAACTTCTCAGGAGAAAGCAGCCCCCAGGTGAAGCTCAAACACCTAGAAGCATCCTTGGAAACCTGTTCTTCTCTTAGGATTTGGAGGAGGTTCACTGTGAAGTCAACTCATTGTATTGCTCAATATGGTATGCACAGAACTCCAGGGATTTTGTCGTCCCCTTATTTAGCATAGAGATGAAATAATAAAAAATAGGAAATGTAATGTAAGGAATTATTTTTAGCTTTCATTTTCAGAGCAATGTGAAGTCCAAGTTTTAATTTTCACTAATTTTTCCTGTGTCAAACTTGGTTTCTGTTAAAATAGATTTAGTTTAAGCTGTCTTTTTCTTTTTTCTGGTATTAATTAACTTCACACGATGAGAGCATCTTATATACTCATAGGTCACATATATCAAATACTTGAAATGAGGCTATATTTCAAAACACTTTGATGCCTGCAAACACACATGTCTCATTTAATTTCTACACTACATGGCTAATTTGCTTTCTCCACGTTACAGTAAATAATATTTAAAATGTAGTAAGTTTTTTTTAAATATTTTTAATGTTAAAAGAATATAGACATTTCACGTTTCCCAGACATTCTGATCCACTGATTTATCCATGGAGAAGCAAACCTTTTATCTCTAATGAAACATCGGTACTTGCCAATATGGTGAATTTCTTAGGGTACAGAATAGCTAAGATTTAGCCAAACCCGTTCTCTATGTGTGATCAATTGATCTCTATTTTAAATCAAAATTATGGTACTGGACACACAGTTAAAGCAATCTAAAGTTCTAGATCCCTGCCTCCCGCTGCTGAATAGGGTAGCCTTGATTCCTATATATGATGCAAAACCCCCTTTCCAGCCATGGAGCCAGGAAGCAGCTAAGCTGATGCTAACATGTTGTATCCCACTCTTGTGTTAGTGTTCTTAGAACTACTGGGACCCCTTCCAGAAGCCACTGTAGACTCTAGAGCAGCAACTGGCCTGCCTGTGGTTTCAGTAAGGGCTAGGAAGCAGAGCCTTTATAAGCCTGCTTTTAAAGCACATATTCTAAAAGATGTCAGAAGACTGGGATATTGCTATGTTCTAGAAAAGTTAGACATGGGTACAAGAGATGGGTATCAGAAGGCAGGCATCATTCAGAGGGGAACGCTACTTCCAGGAATGAGAGCAGATAAGAGAGAGCCCTGAAAGCCAGGCTGAGCTCACCTTTAATTGTTAAGCTCTGATCAGGTAGGGAGCAGGTTTGTAAGACAGTGAGAGCAACCAGCTGTCTCTACATAATAGCAATGGTTGTAAGAGTGTACACAGAAACCAGTGAGAAGGGTATTTAAACATGCCGAGTCTGAGAGGCCCAGGAGGGTCTCAGCGGTCCTCTAGATCAACGTTTTCCTCCTTCCTCAGATGGATAAAATGATAAAGACTAGAAAGGTGGAAGACCCAAATAAGGCTGGTGGAGTGAACCGTGAGAAGGCGTGGCTGGATACGGTACCAGCAGTGTCTTCATTAAGGTCAGGGGGGTCAGCTAAAGTAACAAGTTTGATCCTGCCTATCTTGACTTTTTATTTTTTAATTATTTCTTTTAGATTATAATATAATAACATCATTTCCCCTTCCTTTCTCCCCCCCCACCCTCCCATACATAATTGCTAGTTTATATACATATATATTCCTAAGCACATAAATACTACCTGCTCAGCCTCTACAGTGTTGCTTGAATGTATGCTTTCAGGCTGACCATTTGGTACTGGCTAACTAATTGGTGTCCTCTTTCCCGGAGAAGACTATTTCTCTCATGCTCAGTATTCCTTAGTCATCAGGATATCTTTGTGTAGGGTTGAGACCACATGGGCTCTCCCTGCCCACTGGAGCATGTATATTGGTGTTGTCCTTGTTCCGCTCATGTTTAGGTAGTCACGTTTATGAGACTTCTTTATAGCTTTTGAGAATCCACGGAGACACAATCTCCCAGCAAACTCCCTGTTCCTCTGTCCCTTCCACTCTTTCTGCCTCTTTTTCTGCAATGACCCTAGCTGTGGCTTCTTGTCCACAAAGATCCCAAGGCGTCGGTCCAAGAGTTGTATTGGTAGATAATGTAGTTGGGACTGGACTCCACCACCCTGCATTTCAATTGATTGTGATTTTCTGTAATGGCTTCTGTCTGCTGCAAAAAGAAGTTCCCTTGACGAGGACTACATTTACTTGTGGGCTTAAGGAGCCATAGTTAGAATGTAGTCAGGAATCATGATGACTTCTTACTCTGCAGTTTTTCTCAACCCTGTTGGGTTCTCTGGAATTTCTCTTTATCTTCCCATTCCTATCTCTGAGCCAATTCAGTTCTTTGAGGATGGGTTTCCTTAGTGCCTTCATAGGTGTCCTGAGTCTACCCTGAACTACTTTCTGACCAAGTGTATTCTGCATCTAAGAATATCATTTGTTAAATGATTTTTAGTTTGGTTGGTACTAGGGTTCTCTCAGTCATTGCACACTTGAAGTCAGGGCACGGGTACTAGAGACTGGTAGCTGACACTTCCAGAGATGGGTAGAACAGCCTACTGACCTATAAAATACTGAGGATATTCTGGAGTTTTGTTAAAGGAATGACAGGGGCTTCTGTCGATACCAGCTTCTGTCACCTGACTTTAATTACCTCTCATTACCCTCCCCCCCCCCCCCCCCCCCCCCCCCCCCCCCCCCCCCCCTCCCCCCCTCTCCCCTCCCCTCCCTCCCCCCCCTCCCCCCCCCCCCCCCTCCCTCCCTCCCTCCCTCCCTCCCTCCCTCCCTCCCTCCCTCCCTCCCTCCCTCCTTTCTTTCTTTCTTTCTTTCTTTCTTTCTTTCTTTCTTCCTTTCCTTCTTCTTTAAAATCAGAACTGAAAAGTACATTAAATATTTTTTGTTAATCCTCTGACTTCGAAAATTTATTACATCATTTATAATATTAATAATATATTAGATCAGATTAATTTAGATATACAGAGAATTATATGTATTTATTAGAGTATGTATATGTATATGCATGGAGAGAAAGAGACAGAGAGAGGAGAGAGAGAGAGAGAGAGAGAGAGAGAATACTTACACTACCTTTGAATCTGCAAAAATTTTCAATAAAAGCTATCTTTTTCTCCAGTGTTACTCCCACCCCGACCCTGTCTCTTTGGAGAGGTAGCCATTAAAGGCAGAAAGGCTGGGCAGGGTACGTTTCCATTGCTTTTTGCATCGCCATTCCATTTGAGCAGTTATGCAAGCAAGGGGTGGGGGGATACATGCATTTTCCATTCTTGAGGCCCTTTGATCACTTTTGCTCTTACATAACTCCCCAACAGCTGGAGCTGCAAACTTTAAAATTGGCAGGCTCAGGGTTTGTATTGCGAAAGAAAACTCAACCCAAATTTGAAGAGAAACAGCTAGATATTTTTAGTGGTTCCAGTATCTGGAGTCATAATCATTTAGTGAGTAAGGAATGGTGGGCTAGCAATCAAATCTCCTGCCCCAGATGTCACCATATTGACTGGTACTGTTGTACTGGGTCTGGATGAGGAGAGTGGGTACTTTCTTCTTCTTCTTCTTCTTCTTCTTCTTCTTCTTCTTCTTCTTCTTCTTCTTCTTCTTCTTCTTCTTCTTCTTCTCNTCTCTCTCTCTCTCTCTCTCTCTCTCTCTCTCTCTCTCTCTCTCTCTCTCTCTCTCTCTCTCTCTCGGTGTAACACCAAACTCCAGCTTACAACAATACTTCTGGCCACAGAGGACCAAAGGAATGTTCATTGCAATGTTTGATATGTCCTCTTATCGCCTTGTGGTCCTGCCTTACTTGGAAGATCCATCTTCTTCTCAACAACATTTGTTGTTCATTTGTCTTCACAGCTGTCTTTGCGAACATATCCCTCTCCCTCCTGGTTCTTAGCTCTCTTTGCCTGCCACTTTTACCACTTCTCCCTCCTCTCTCTCTCTCTCTCTCTCTCTCTCTCTCTCTCTCTCTCTGTGTTTTCCACTTAGTTTTTTCTTTTGTTTTGTTGTCTTAGTTTCTGAGTCTGAGACAAAGTCACACTACATAGACTAAGCTGGCTTCAAACTTGGGACTTGTTTGTCCCAGTCCCTTGAATCCTGGGATTATAAGTGTAAGGCTCCACATCTGGCTTTGGACACGATCGTTTGTCCACTGAAATAGAAATGAGTCCATTTATTGCTAGCAAGACCACATCGTAATGATAATAGCAAAAACTCAAACCTCATCCTTCAAATCTGTGATCGCTCCTGCATAAAGTCAGCGCCAAGTGTAGAAACACGTTTATGAAGAAATGATTAAACTTGCAAGTTGTGCAAATAAAACTAAAGAAAAACAAATTTGTGTTTTCTGCAGTGATGCAATCTGAGGGAACACTGATACTGGCTAGTCGTTCAAACATTTAGAGGTCTAAGATGACAGGAAAGTCGGGCATCTCGTTTCCTTCTGTTAACCTTTCTTTCTCATCAGAGAGCTGGGATGTAGCCTTAAGAGAGACTCTGATTCTATATCTCCAAGAGTGGCAGGCCACTGGTGGGGAGGGTAGTTTGATGAGGTAACCAACTGCTTTCTGCTTGACTCTGAGGCCCACGCCCACTGGCTGGAACACATGCCTGAATCTGTAACCCTGGTGAAGAGCCCAGGGGTAGTGAGTTCAAACACCTTAGGTGAGTTAACTACTTTTATTGTTTTGCTACATAGTCAGGTTTTCAAAATGCCATTCAACGCCTTTTTTTTTTTTCATCTATCAGTGGTGGCGCATGCCTTTAATCCCAGCACTCAGGAGACAGAAGCAGATGGATCTTTTTTAGTTTGAGGCCAGCCTAGTTTCCAGAATAGGCAGAGCTACACAGAGAAACTCTGTCTTGAAAAGCTAAAAAAAAAAAAAAAAAAAAAAAAACCTTAATTTTACACCCATAGTTTAATGTTGTGTTCAGCCTTCATCAGGGGCATTCTTGCTGTAGCAGGGGCAGTTAATACAGAAAGACATTATCTGGCCAATGTGTTGAAAATAAGTTATAGTGAGTGTTCTGTTCTAAATGGCCCTGCGATTGTCCCCTTCAAGGCTCAGCAAATGTCTTAGTGTCCTAGTCACTGTTTTATTGTTTTAAAAAGACATTGTGACCAAGGCAACCCCTATAAAAGAAGGCATTTAACCAGGAACTTGCTTAACTTTTCAAAAGTTTAGCCCACATTATCATCCTGGCAGAGAGCATGGCAGCATGCAGGAAGGTGCTGGAGCAGTAGCTGAGAGCTTTATACCCTGATCAGCAGGGAGAGAGAGAGAGAGAGAGAGAGAGAGAGAGAGAGAGAGAGAGAGAGAGAGAGAGAGAGAGAGAGAAGGAGGGAGAGAGGGAGAGAGAGAGAGAGAGAGAGGAAAGAACAAGCCTAAACCTGGTGTGGGCTCTTGAAACTTCAAAGCCCACCCACCCCCAGGGACGCATTTTCTCCAATAAGGACACACCTCCTAATCCTTCTAATCCTTGTCCCCTGGATTTTCCTGCACAGCTTAGTTAGGAAACCACTGGAAATGACCTTCTATGTCAGAAAATTTGCTGGTATTGTTAGACATTCTTGTGGGAGAATATATGCTTAGCTCTTCCTACCCACTGGAACGCTCACATTCATAGGAATCTGTGTCAGTCATGACTTACTTGAAGCTATCTTTCTGTTTGGGAGGTTTTCTTTGTATTATCCCCAGCTGAAAAAAATTCAAGAAAGGACTTGATGTGAAGTGAGATATTTTTAAGATTTTCCATGCCTTATCTTTATTTTCCTTCAAACAGCCTATGGTCATGGCGATAGTCACTGACTTGGCTATGCTACATGCCTTGTGTTCAGAAAGCCTTTCCTCACAGACGCTGTTGTCCTCACTTGACAGATATGTAAAAGGAGGTGCTGACAAGCCTCATAATAAGCCTAAGATCTTACAGCTAATAAAAGGTACAGACAGATTTGGACACAGGCATTTCTGACCTTGAAACAAGCTTACAACTTGCTGTAATGCTGTCCCGCTGTTGACAGTATTAAGAATTTATATATTTTGTTACAAAGTTTACAGAAGTCATACTGTGTGTTAAGTTATGAATTAGGCACTGAGGGCATTGGACAAACATGGATCACTCTCGTTGTGGAACCTAGACTATGGAGAGAGACAACAATACAATGATTAAACAATAATTTATATAATTGGAATTATTATGCATGATAAGCACTTGTAAGATGATACTTATTTATTCCCTGACTAAGTGACATTTAAGGTGACATTAGAAAAAGTATGAGCTAGTGAAATGATGGTGGGGGTGGCAGAAAGGGTCTCAGGGAGCAAATGTTCTCAAAGATGAGATTTCCATTATTTCAACTACACTGAGTCCATTAAAAGCATAGTTTCTGCCAACAATATTTCCTTAGAAGTATAGATAAAATCTGTACTTGCTTTTATGTGGCCATAACTCGACCCTATTCTACTTAGGGGACTAGCTGCATAGCCATAAGATTTCGAACCAGATGTCTTTTGATGATCAAAGTACATAAGGTAAGAAATGCCCAGGGAATGGCACTTGAAGGAAGCCAGAGGGATTCTATCCAATGTGGAACAACAAAGTCTTTAAAGATGTGTAGTTGCCCAAAGGCAGAAGGATGCCATTTCAGAACCATTCCTCCCCTTTCTTCCCTACACTGGTATTCCAAGATGTGAAGCTTCTATCCCCATGCAATTCATAGGAATCCAATTTAGTTTGAGTTATAAAATCAAGTAACTAAGCTTTGTGGAACAAATAAGTTGGTGAATTGGATAGGGAATGCAGAAAGAAATAATGTGTAAGAACTCAGCGTAAGAGTAACATTTGGTATTAACAAGGAAAGCACTGACAGATGACCATTTGTTTGCAAAACAAATAGATTCCTCATTCTTTACAACAAAATAAGTTGCAGATGGAGGAAGAATGGAAGCCTATTTTATCTTCTAAAATTCTGGATGGAGACATGGGCAAGTAATTGTATAGTTCTTGGTTGGGAAAGCAAGTACCAAGACCAGTTCATGCATTTCTCCAGGCTTGTCAGACTGGCCTGTTCCACAGTCCTTGTACCAACCACAGGTCAGTAAGCTCCAGTGTCCTGGTTGGCTTTGTGGACGAGTAGAATATTGATGTCTATCCCATCTCTACCCTCCGTCCCTGGAGTAAAAGTCTGTCTACCAAGAATCAGTAGCATGTGGGAGTATGCAAAACTATAGTTAAAATGAGACTCTATAAAAAGGTATAATTTCTTTATAACAAGTGTGTGTGTGTGTGTGTGTGCGCACGTGCGTGCATGTGTTTGTATGTGTGCATGTTTAGAGTACTTGTGGGAGTTGGTTTTCTTCTTCCGCCAGGTAGGTCCTGAGGATTGATCTCAGGTTGTCAGTCTTGATGGCAAGCACCCTTATCCTATAGTCATAGTATATATGTTCATAGTTCATCTTTCTATCTCTTGATTTGATATTTTGATATTTTCTTCTGCTAGCAGAGAGTGAAAAGTTGCCTAATTTTATGGGAGGGCTTTAGAGGGATTTTTTTCCCCATAGTTTACATAGTCACAAGGCGAAGTACACCAAAAATATTTCTAGTCAGTAAGAGAGTTAGGCAAGATAGGTAATACGTGGGCACAACGTTAGCCTTACTAAAAGGCAAAACAATAAAAATGAAAACAAGGTTTTGGGGATGCCTATCAATTTGATAAAGTTTAAAAACGGTGTCAAATTCTGTTTGATGGGGATATAGGAGGCTAGACAATTATGTCTGATTGTTTTTATTAATATTTATTAAATATGTTATTTGCCCTGCTCATTTCACATCTAAGAACTTACCTTAAACCGTTCATCGCTAACAGCTCAGTGGATACATGCACTAGGATGTTCTTTATTCCTGTATTTGCAGTTGAATGTGATCTGAAAGCAATGCGCACTGTGTTTTTATGTAATGACCGCAAGGTAGTTGACCAAGATAATTTATCTTACCTTCCCTATTGGCTATCAGTTATTCCAAGAACATGATCAAGGAGCAGACAGGCCTTCTCACTTTCAGGAAGCTGCATGTTGTACATCAGGAAATGGAAGTGTTACCCAAGAACTGTCCTCCTTAGAAAGTGAGTTCACATGGGTGGTCAAATCAGCGAGGAGACGGTGAAGGGAAGATACAAGCATCAGACTAAAAGAAATGCCTGGACAGAAGATAGGGCTGTGTGAGACCCATGCATGGTGGGACTTGTGCTTCTCTCCTGAGCGATGCTGTTGGCTGGAAGGGAAGGGGGCCCTGGACTGATGCTCTGTCTGCGACTCCATGCCACCAACCATGTCCTACTAGTGAGCACTCTGGTTACAGGAATTCAGTCAGCCCGAATGGATTTGCATCTCCAAGGGGTGTAGAGTGGATTACAGACCGGAGGTATTTCTCTGAATATATAATGATTCACTGAGGGAGAGGAGTAGCCGAGGAGAGGAGCTCTTCAGCGGTGTTCGTTCTTGAGTTTCTACTTAGTCTGGCAGGAATGAAGGACGAGACTTAGTTTGGTTGGAATAAGTAACCGAGTGGGCAGACTGAACACGTGAGCATGTGTCAGAGCTGATGGTATATGTTTTCTGCTAACGAAACCTTTTCTTGACAGCTTTGCTGTGAGAGGTGAGAAAGCTCTGCCCCACTCAACCGCTGGGACTAGAAAGACAGGTGACCCAAGGTGTACGGAGGTGACGCTGCGCACATTTGAAGGAAATGGGAGTCTGCAGGGTGACTCCAAGAAGAAGGCTTAATGTTCAAAAATACACTATGGACAGAAAGAACAGGAAATTCAAAAACCCGTTTGTCTACTTTTCTCTCATGAGGCAGAAATTGGGTCAGAGCCTGTTCCAACCCAGTTCTCAGGTAGGTTGCTCAGGCTGCCAAGCATTCTGATTGGGTGCCACAGTGGTGGGGGCAGGCGGAGAAGGCTCAGAACTGCAAATAGCTTCAGAAGTTAAAGCCAGTGGAGGCAGAAGGGTTGTCAGGCAGCAACAATTTAAACAAGTGGAGAGCCAAGGAGTGCTTCAAGTCACTAAGGGACCCAGGACCCAAAGGCACACAGCCATGTGGCTTTGGTTTTGAATCTAGTTTTTAGGAGTTTGTGTGGACACAAACAATCTAAGCTTGTTCATTACAATTGCTCATATGCTGCCAAATCTAGAACTGGATGTCACGGAACAGGGAAATAGAGTCCCACCCAAAAGAGTAACTTTAGGCTATGGAAGAAGCCATGAGTGTATGAAGTTCTGAGCAAATGTGTGTTATTGACATTATTGTTGACAAGACATAGCTGTGGCAAATATTCCAAAACCTCAGACCTATAGGAAAGTGTCAAAGCCAGGCTAGGCTTAGCTTTTGGACTGGAGGAAAATGTTGACACCGTGTGCAGAAAATGTCTGCTGTAGCTTTCTCTCCCCCAATATTTTAATACCCTGAAGACTACTCTTACTGTGATTGATGAAACCTGCCTCTTTGATGCAGCTCCATACCATAAACCCCGCCTCCTTTATCATTCCACACTACATCTCTGCTCAACAGTTATACAATAAACACACTGAGCTTCCAGGGTTCTGCTGTCTCTTCAACGGAAAGTCCAGCCCACGTGACCTATTTCTGAGTGTCTACGTGCTTGC